CTTTTTGGTAAAACAAATTCCAACTGTCCTCTTGGTCAAGTAAATGCATCCTGAAAGGATCCTTCGGAGAGCTAGCATATTGAGCAACCTCAACGTCTCGAGTAGTCAACAGTACCCGACTTCTTTTACCATCGTCTGGAAGACACAGTCTAATCTCATCCCAAGCGTTTTTGCTCCATATGTCATCCACAACAATCAAATACCTTCGACCCATTAAACTTTGTTTCAAGCAAACGGCTAAATCTGAATCGTTTTTCTTATCAAGGTCTTCTTCCTTCCCAATATTAGCATCTATTAGGAGGCCTAAAAGTATCTTTCTATAAATATAGTCCTCAGACACGGTAATCCATCCACGGATGTCAAAGAAGCTCAAAATTAAGGGATGAGAAAACAGGTTTTTGGCAAAAGTTGACTTACCAATGCCGCCCATACCAGTAACAGAGATGACTTCCAGTTCAGGTGAGCCACTCGTGAGTTGACCCAGCATGTTTGCTTGTTCAATGTTGTACCCCACCATATCGTTCTCAAGGGTTGAAGCATGCAATCGAGGTGAACTTGAATCACCAAGTGAGGAATTTCCAGCTTGCGAAGTGTTATTATGACTGTGCTTGATGAGCTCTTCCTTGAGGGAATCAACATTTTCAATACCTCGTTGTAAGATCTCAAAAAAACTCTCGAGGGCTTCCTTTTGATGGAGTCCGTCATGTTGTTCGTCCATTACCACCTTCATCTGTGATTCAACTTCATCTTCTGCTTCATTTGCTATGTGTCTGACTTTTGCCTGCAAATTCTTCGTTTGTTCACCATCAAAATTGTCAAGAAGTTCTTGCAGAGAATCAACCTTCTCGTAGAGTAAATTCAAACTTTCCACATGAGTGTCCAATAGATCTAAGTTTGATTGCAAAAGCTGAAGCTGTTCTATTGTTCCCATTAGAGAAGTCAATGCAACATATGCAGCCATCTCTCTCTCTACTTCTGCAGTAAAGGACCTCCAGATTAGCGAATGAATCTGTTTGGACTAGGTAGACACTTAAAATGACAGATATGGCAGACACTAACATTGAATTATTGTATCGCACGCAATAAAAGTTGTCATTGTTATAACAATTGACGTGTTTCAATTGTTTTAACATAGTCTCGGTCAAGCCTATACACACAGAAAATACAGTAGATAGATTCACATGCGCATACCTATTATGGAATATAAACTGCGGATTAATCGTATTGATTATACCCAAAATCAGATCCAAGTATCTAACATATTTAACAAGTCCCTCATTTTAACGCATACCTTTCTAATTACTCGGGACGCCCCATCCAAGAACTGGTGCACTCCTCCATACATTATATAAAAAATAAGCTACTTATCACCAAGGCAAATCAGAGGAAAAGGTACAAAATAACCATTTACAATCCGAATAGAAGAAAGTGATCATCACAAAGATATTTTGTGTCTTATATTACTGATCTTTTAGGTCTTAACATAAAAATCTCTTCTGAAATGAGTCATATAACTATAACTAAAAACATCTGTAATGTGTCAGATAAGCATTATTGAACTGTGGAAAATTGTCATTTCAATCCGCATAGACATACTAAAAGAAGAATAAAATCAAACTAAATAGAGAATCTCCATCAAGATATCACATTAACCCACAAAAATGATGCTCTTTCAAAAAATACTAGCAACAAAACACAAGAAAATGACTTTCTAATAGAAAATATTTTCTTAAAAAAAGATTTAATTCATACCAAACACACTGTACATAAACTTTAATTGCTCATTTTTAAAACACAACTAGCATTGCACTCAAGAACAACACAGAAGGTTTAATATGATCCTTCAAATCCTGTAATTAACTAACATGCGATGATAAAATATCATGATTACGACATGCATCAAACTCCATATGCAGCAATCCAAAAGAGTGAAGCATAAACAGAATAATATGAAAATTGTAAAATAAGAGAAGCACCTTAATTAAAGCAGAGATCTCTGGCTTATGGCTAGTTCTCCCCCTCGACTGTCAACCACGTGAAGGAACTTTGGATTGAACTGTGTATTGGTCGATATCTCTCTCTTGGAAGCTCTTGAATGTGGTAAATTTGTTTCCCTCACTAATGTTGTGAAAGCTTCTTTATAAGAGAGAGTTAGCTGAGGTGAGACAATAACAACAAATATTATAATTATAATAGTAGTTGTAATTACATTATCTCCTCTCTATTTTATATTGTTATTATTATTTGTTGAAATTATTTGAGCATTTTAACATAAAAAATATTCCATGACTCATGTTAGCTGGCTTATAAGTTGAGGTTAACCACAATTAAGGAACAACATTTAGATTTAAAATATTATTTCTTAATTAATGCCTCTAACATGGATGAGTCATGGAATATTTTTATTTGCATATAGTTTTCTTAATATTGGGTTAACTAGAACGGATCTAGAGCACAACTTATGGATTCACGAGAATACAATAGCTTTTGCACAGTCCGTGTATTTTCATTAAGAAATTTACTAAATATATACAAATATTTGACTGTTATCCCAATCACTTATTGTATATTAACTTGAGATTGTTGTACCAACCCATAAAACTTCAAATCCTGGATCATCTGTGACGGGAAGCAATTAGACAGTCAAAAGTCAACTTAACTCTCAACTTGCAGCATTAATTAAGGGATAACACTTAAACAATGATTCTGCACATGTATTTTTAATTCTAGTTTTGCCAGTTCAACCAACAAGATAAGTCTAAACAAATATAAGCATTAATCAAGGAGCAACACTTGAATGAGAAGTCAGATTTTAACATAAAACTTTTCCCTGTCTGGTTCAGCTAAAGTCAACTGGTGAGCTAAGTCTTAACAACTATTATTAGCTAATTGTAGCATTAATTAAGGAATAATAATTGAATTATAATTCATGATTTAAGTGCATATGGTCATGGTTTAGCTAGTCTTTCTCTTTTCAGGAAAAAACAAAACATTAACCTCCTAGCTAGGAGAGAACTCCATTCAACATAGCAGCTGT